TGGTTGTTTGGGGGGGGGGGGGGTTTTCTCATCAGGAGCACACATTATTGCTCCTTTTTGGGTCCCTTCATTTTTGGGTTTAGGGGTTTAGGTATTGAGGATTGACGTGAACCATAAAAGTCTCTGGTTCTTCGTAGGGAAGGGCGAATGCGTTATAGGGACTACGATAGGGGACTATCATAGGGATCCATTACCCCGTCCGGGACTAAGAAGCACGGAGACAAAGCCCCTTCTGGGGCTGAGGCTCTCGGATTGAGGGCTTACGGGATCAGTCATTAGCACACAGCTTGGGAATTGTATCAAACTCAAGCGATTTCTGTGGCTGCTGCATCCTAGGGTGATTGCATGGGGATCTTCAAAGCTGGGGGCTCCCAAGGCTGAGAAAGTCTGCTTCTTGAGGTGTATTTGAAGGATTTTAAGTGCACAAGCAACTTCCTGGAGCGGTTGCCTACAGAAAGGCCGACTTAGAATGAACCTTCAACGAGCTCGGTGACCCTTGGTTTCAGGGGCCGTGGTTTCCAAGCCCTAACCCAAAAACCTCTAAAAGCTCCAAGCCTCAAAACCCAAGCCACCCCCTGGCAGGATTGCCTGTAAACCGTCGCAGAAGACGAGAAGACCAATCGCCTGCGCAGGCTGGTGCCAGAGGAAACGGCCTCTTGTATGATGCAGCAAATTGCAGTAGATTATGGCATCATAGTATACTATGCACCATTGTGTGGCATACTGTAGTATGGTTTGGCAGTGTTCAAAGGGGTAGTTTGTGCTGTTGCCGCATTGCCTTGAGTCATTGAGTCCAGTGTGGGGACTCAGACATGTTGCAGAACTTTGGGTTGTGGTTGTGCTCCTTGTTGACGGCATATTCCATCATGCTGCATCGTGGCTGTATTTGAGCGCGGCACATCACACGATACTTGCCAATGCCCTGCCCTCATGCGTTGTACTAAATCGCCCGCGGGACGATACAGCGTGTGCCATTACAAGATAATGACAGGGCTGAGCAACACGAGCAGCACACGTACCACATGATCATATGCAACACGGTCTTGCGACGCCTTACAAGATTGCAGTCGACTGCAATATGCTATGCTATACCCATTTCATACTATGAGGCTGGCTTGTTCACTCACGATTCCATGCCAGTCCACAGGCCCCAGCCGTTACACTGCGAAGCCTAAGCGTTCATTCTTGAACCCTCTCGAGAAAATCCTCGAGCTTGTTTGGAGTTTCAGGGCCGTAACCCTAAGCCCTGAACCCTACACCTTAACCCCATGAGAGGGATTTAGGGCCTTGGGCGACGCTTTGGGACTTCAAGCGACACAGAATGGAATCGCACACAAACAACAGACTTGGTCATAGATATAGTTATACTCATACTATACCAGACGGTACTCCATTATTCTATACTACGGCATACTACGCTATATATTGTACTATCTCATTTTGTGCTATACATCCTATATTTTAGCACCCTTTCTATTGCATTGTAGACCAGAGCTCATGAGTTTTTGCCGATCTGCGCTCTGCGTAGCTTTACCTCAGGGGCCCGGTCCTGCACTCCGCTGTAGAGGCTGCGAACAGTAACAGCCGATGCAGTTCGGAGACATAACTATGAATACTATGACATATCTATAAGTATATGTTGTCTTGTGGTGTACTTATAGATATAACTGAAGAGTGTTGATAGTTATCACTTCAAAACAGGCTGCCCTGCTCTAAACTTTAAACACTGTCATTGGACTCATGATTTGCCACACTGCCTTTGGGACTGAGCTTACATCTGCTTGGGTCTGCAGGGACAGGTTGAAGGCTTGATGATTGTCTAAGCTCATCTCTCTTTCCAGATAAGTACCTGCACGTGTGTACAGTATGTAGTGTACATGCGCTTGGCTCTAGAAGTAAAGTGGCCAATGAACATAGCTGATCACTCCAGCACATCACCCAGTGCAGCCAGCAGTGATCTCAAGTGCCGCCGTTTCTCCTGCGACAAAATGCACTGTCACTACATGCTGTCCCGTACAGAAGACACAGCAGCAGCACTGCGACAGGAGCAAGTGTCACGAGGGCGCATACCTCTGCTTGGGTCTTGATGCAGCATCTACACAAACAGCGGGAACACAGCAATAACAAGCAAGGCAGCAGTGTAGTTCGTGGGAACTCCTTCTGGTCATCCAGGCTCTTCCAGTCATTTTCCCTGACTGTCGCGACACGCAGCCCCTTCTTTGCGAGGATCCGCCTCCTGCAGGTGTCGTGCTTGGGCGAGCGTTTGCTGTCAACCAAACTTACGGCTGACAGGCTGATAAAACTGCCATGCCGAATGCCATTGATGCAAACCTCTCCGACTCTGTCTAGGACGCTTCAGGCAAACGATGCACCGGTGCACCTTTTTCCTCGCTTGGGACTCGCGCATGCACAAGCTGTGCCTTTACGAGGACATGTTCGCTAGGTATCATAGCTCCGAGTGGTTTGACGCAACCAGGTCTTTAAGATGCGAATAGCTATCGACGCCTCTCATCACCAGCTGAGGCTTGACCTCCTTCCACCCCGCGGTGCGAGGCAAGAGTTCCGAAGAGGTCGCCCGGGTTTGCGAGTTGGCAACGGCCTGAAAGGCCTGCCAGAGGTAGCAGAGCGTGTCGTGCCGGCGTACCCGCTGCGAGAAGTGCTCAAAGCCCCGGCGGGCTATGGCTTCCGCTTCTTCCTGGTGGTCTTCCAGCCATTTCACTTTTGGGACTAAGTCCGAGAGGCCCTGGCTAATCGGAACATAGTGCACCCAGGGAGTGAGCCACTCTAAAATCACCTCTCGATCCGCACTGTCCTGCATCAGAATCAAAGATCCCGTGGCTAGCATCTCGGCCAGGCGCCAAGCTGAAAGCACTGCAGCCACATTAATCAGGTACCGATATCTTGGCATGATCTTGCGCAGCTTCTCATACCGGGCCTCTCCACCAAGTTGCTTCACCAACTGTTTTGCCCCTGCTTTGCCGATGGTTCTGTACATCTCGCGATCCTTAGTACCCTAGCGTTACAACTCCAACATGCCTGAAGATTCCGAAAGATTCAGCCAAGCCACGACACTTGTAATGCCGACATCAAAGAGGTCAGGGAAGTCCTTCGCCAGCTTCATGAGGCGAACCCTTGGCAGCGTCCCCATGTCTTCCTTGAGGAAGTGGTCAGGGGCCGAGAGCTGCCCCCTCCAATAAATTTTTGGAATTTTCTTTGCCCAAGGCATGTGGTGGTCCCTGTGTTGCGGAAAGTCACCCAGCAGATGCTGGGCATGGGCCCTGAGATGGTAGGGATTTGGAAGAGGGATTGTCCAGTGGCCGGCACTTCGAACCCAGTGGAATTGCGGAATGGGGCTCCAGTACACCTTGTCCACAAAGGGTTGATCCCCGGTGTTGAACAGGAAAACCATCTCCGGGAGCTCTTCAGCGACCTCGGCCACCAGCGACAAAAGTGCCTCCACGTCCGTCACAGGAGGCCTGGTTGGCCCTTTAAAGTCTCTGAAAAATATGAGTAAATAGGGTCCTCTTAAGCCCAATAAGGGAAAACATACAATATCCCAAAGGCCTACCCAGAGGCTCTTTCAGCAGTGGGGGGCTCTCGCACTCGCTGGAGCAGCAGTGGTAAAGCACCTGACCCTCTCGGACCACCCCAATAAAGGCGAGGTCGATCTCAGGAGCCACCATCTCGCAGACCGTGAAGAAGGACTGCCAAGGCATCTGGTGGTCCCACCACCTCATCTCGCAACCCTAGCGCTCCGGCGAGAGAGCGGGAGAGAGGGAGAGGGAGAGAGAGGGACAGAGAGAGAGCGAGAGTTGTGAGGTATGACGATTACTTTGATCACTTTGACCTATTCATCTACTTGCTTCTATATACCTCTGATGTGTGTGTGTGTATGTATGTATGTATGTATGTATGTATGTATGTATGTATGTATGTATGTATGTATGTATGTATGTATAATTGTGTGTGTGTGTATATACATATATATAACAGCTGTGCAAAAAAATGTACACCCTTCAGAACCTTCTCTTCCGGGGCGAAGCGGCGGCTCGAAGCTTTCCGCCAGCCCGGGCTCCTCTTCCGTGCAACCCAGGCGGCAGGCCAGGCCCTGGCCACCTCGGAGCAAAGTCGAAGCTTAGGGATTCGGGAAGGGGAGGGCTTACAGGTGGGTTTAGCAGGGTGCAAATACAAAGTCCTGCCTGCGATTATATATATAGACACATGCATAAATACATGCACATGTGTGTGTGTGCATGTATGTATAAGTATATATGTATATACATATATACATATATACATATATACATAAATACATATATACATATATACATATATATACATATATACATATATATATGTATATACATATATACAAATATACAAATATACAAATATACATATAGACATATATACATATATACATATATACATAGATATATACATACATATATACATATAAACATATATATGTATATATATATACATATATATATACATATATGTATATATACATAGATATATATACATATA